GTTGTGGTGATCGTGCCTCAACCTTGTAATCAACGCTAGCTTAACCCACTCCGTGCTACTTCACATCCCTATTTTCTAAAAGTGTTGACTAAGCTTGTCTTTGGTGTGACCGTGCTTGTCACGGTCTTGCAGAGCAAGACAAACACACCAACGCCGCTGGCATCGGTGGTTTTTTCTGCTCTTCATGCGTTACGAGACAGTGACGTGCCTGCAGAGTAAGCTGTACCCCTTCTTCTTGCTGCCGGTGTGCAAGAATAAACGAAGTCTAGACCACCGAATAGTGCAGTGGCGTTTGCGAGCCACGACAACAACCGGGTGACAGCGCATCCACCCGCGCTCGCCCCGTAGTAGACGGCATATTCGGCGACGCGGGGCGCGTTCAGTGCGAACGACGCTGCGTTTCGCGGCAGGCGAATTTCGGTCACTCTATAGAGCGGATGCTTCAGTGTGAACTAGCAGTAACACCGGTTGTCGAATGCTGAAGCATTGCGCAAACACTGCACCCGTTTTCATCTTGAAAAGACGCGAGCGGGTCCCTCGAGCACCAATTGCGATCTTTGATTTTCGCTGGGTTAAACGTTATATCGTGATCTCGGCAGCCGTTCGCGGGCGGCTTGCTCACCTTTTTACGTGCTGCGCTCTCAACGCGAAGGGAATGTGCGAAGAGTGCTCCTGGAGGAACCATATTCTCTTGGATTAATGTTTTGTAGAGTTCCGTAAGATCGGGTCTGAATGGGTTAGTTATAGCTGCCAGCCTCACTTCGTATAACATTACAATTTACTGCTACCGTATTCAATGCTGCTTCATTGCGGTGAAACAATGGCTTTTTAATCAGATGATGGTGCCAAGGTGTTGCTTTGGGTGCTTTTACTTAATAGATTGCACCGGGAAGTTGGCAATAACCGTAAAACAGCGTACAATTTACACGCGAATGGACATTCGGATTCCTAATGGCGTAACTAAACACGACTGCCCATGCAACAGCAATGTTCACATGTAAGTTTTCAGAGAAAACGTCCGCGTATTATAAAAAGTTCATCAAGATGATACAGCAACAGGCACTGGGCATTTCCCTACACTTCCAACCCGACTGTTATGAAATAAATGTTGATAAGTACAAAACACGAGAGAAAAAATAGGAAATTTGCAACGAGTTACCTTCATTGATCCTAGTTATCGAAGACTATGCGAAAAGATAAAATGTTTTTCTTTGTGCTTATATTTAAACGTCAGTTTACATCAGTGTTAAGTGCCATCTTCCGCCCCGCCACGGTGGTCTAGTGGCTAAGGTACTCGGCTGCTAACCCGCAGGTCGTGGGATAATCCCGGCTGTGGCGGCTGCATTTCCGATGGAGGCGGAAATGTCGTAGGCCCGTGTACTCGGATTTGGGTGCACGTTAAAGAACCCCAGGTGGTCGAAATTTCCGGAGCCCTCCACTATGGCGTCTCTCATAATCATGTAGTAGTTTTGGGACGTTAAACCCCACAAATCAATCAAGTGCCATCTTCCACTCTTGATAACACATATGTGTTTTGCGAGTTAGTGTTCAACAAAGCTTGATCATCCTGACAATCGATTTCATTAATCAGCAAGTAGTCATCTGCAAAAGCACAATCTGGACAACTTCATTAGCTACGTGGACAATATCATTATAGCATATTAGAAAAACAAATTGACCTAGTGCCCTTCCTTCTGGTACTCCAGAGTCGACAGGCACATGTGAAAATGTCGTGAAACTGTGTGCAGTTAAGGTTTCTGGAAGTTCAACCAACTATGAAACTATGGTAGTCCTATTGTTTTTACCTTACAGTTAGCTTTGCGTGACAAACAATAAAATCCTTTATGAAATTTAAAAGACATATCCATCTGGCCTGATTTATCTAGTACAGGGGCAAAGCTACAGACTGTCCACCGAGTTACTGTGTGGAGGCCTTTCCTAAACGAGTGTAGCGAATTGGGCTAGTTAGAACATACTCAGGATGGTGAGCGGAAAAAAAATAGAGAGACCACGAATTCTGTGAAAGTACACGATGCAAGCGCTGTCTAACAACTGAAAGCGTAATAAAAAAAAAAGGGGGCAAATATGAACAGAAAAGAAGGCTTGGTCGGCACTGATAAGCTTTGGTTAGCGGCTTCTCTCATGTTTATATATTCCACGTTTTATTTTTTTTCATTATCCTTTTAGTTGTTAGCACTTTTGTCGTGTACCTTCTTATATTTCGTGTCCTCTTTATTTGAGCTGACATTTCCCAAAACCATGTTATTATGCAGAGAAAATTTGGATACTATCAAGAAACTTTGTTATATAATTAGCAATAACATGCTCAAGAATATTACAGCTAGACGTAATTTAGGGTACTAAGCTATAATTCGTTAGAAATGCGGAGTCGTTCGTTTTTAGAAGCAATAGAAATCTTGCTGTTCTCCAATCCTCGAGAATGGTAGCTGCGATCAATGATTCCTTGAAACCCCGCCGCGGTGGTCTAGTGGCTAAGGTACTCGGCTGCTGACCCGCAGGTCGCGGGTTCGTATCCCGGCTGCGGCGGCTGCATTTCCGATGGAGGCGGAAATGTTGCAGGCCCGTGTACTCAGATTTGGGTGCACGTTAAAGAACCCCAGGTGGTCAAAATTTCCGGAGCCCTCCACTACGGCGTCTCTCATAATCAAATGGTGGTTTTGGGACGTTAAACCCCACAAATCAATCAATCAATGATTCCTTGAAAATATCGACCAAATATAGAGCTAATATTTCAGCATATCAGCGAATAAAAAGCTTAAATATGTTGTTAAGGCCAAGGGATCAGTTCGCCTCAAGTTTCAGTAACACTCATACGACACCGCAATTATATTGTTACCACATACGTAATTTAGGTATGTGCATCTTTGCAGCGGGGAACGGAGTGGTGGCAGTAGAAGAAGATGTTAGGCTTTTGGCAAAAGGTCTCCGGGGCGCGTTCACTGTATACCTTCGAGTCGATCGTTACGTCACTTCTGAATGAACCTCTCTCGTAGACGTAACAATATAATACTTGTTTCGGTACAACTGACATGATGAAAGCTTAGAGGTTCCTTAGGGTTGACAAACACATCATTAAAATGGGCATTAAACTTCACCGCAATGGTTTGCTTATCAACGATGACTACGCCATCCTGCACGATACAATCAGCCTATTTCTCGCCTCACCTAGGAATCACCAAAACTTTTGAAGTAAGCTACGATTTAAGCTTGGCAGCTTGTGTTGTAGTGATGCTTCAAGTTGTTGTCAGCTTGGTTTAGCGTAATTTTATTGTTGGGCATTCTGGTCATGTTGGCACATTTTAATTTAATTTTCTAAACATTTTTGAAGTGTCCGAGTGGAATATTTTCAGTTGGAAGTGAGCGCTTGTTGTCTCACTTCTGTGGTCATTTTGTTTCAACTGTTAATCTTGGGTATTTTTTTCTCTTTCGGTGGAACACCGTTATTGTAATGCAGTGGTTTGAACAGTGTGTTTTAGAAACGTTATTTGATAGAAAGTCTTCAAAAAAGGATATATCTGCACAAATACTTAAAAGATTTTGAAAGAACAGTAGCATTTACACCTTGAATGTTGTTATAGTGCAAGTTGAAGATATATACTTACGTCGATTGTCGGCGAAAGTCTTTATTCACTAATAAGAAAAAAGATTGAGTAATGCGCACCATTAGAGAAAACGAAGGATGTGTCATTTCATGATCAGACAGACTACTTTGCAGAGACACCTAGTAATCTGCCATACAACAGCTAATAGAAATAAGGTCAAGCGTGGAAGCACAGTTGACTTGAATGCTGATAGGCTGATCAATCCTTATGAGGCACGTCGTATACAGAGCCTTATGAGGCACGCCGTATATTGGAGGGCTGACATCGCCCTATACGCGAATCTCTGGCATTTGGCCTACACCGAAACGCGACTGCCGCGGCTGGAATCGAACCTGCCGCTTTAAGGTAACCAGCCGGACACACAACCCGCTGTGCCACCGGGGTGGACTCGTATTGATGTCGGGGTCACTCTCGTGTCATTCGCCTTCCCACGTGAGCACGCGGTATGTGTTGTCTTTGAACTATACACAAACCGGAATCATCTGGCAGCTATGGTTTCGTGGTGTTACCGGGTGTATGATTATTTACTGCTGTTCGTTAGTTAAAGCAACACCTTTTTCAATGTTCCTTTCACAGCAGTATAGCTATTTTTGAAGTATGCTTTCAGTGCTTGCTATTCCTGTCACAACTGTTCCATTTATGTTTTCCCTCACGATACCAATGCTAAGATAAGTTCCTTTCTTCAATCATGTATTTTATTTCTATCACCTTTCGGCATGGTTTCAGCTTTGCAGAATGGCTATAACTTGCTTTGTATCTTGTGATTGTTGCATACATTGTGTATTAATAACATAATTAACGTTTAACTTCTGCACTGCTCAATGGTTATATGATCCTCATGTCCTGTTATTATGCTTGCATGTTTTTACGTCTACATCCTTTTTGTGCGTGTAAAAAATTACTGTATTGCCCAACTGCCACGCTCTCGAAGGAGAGTAGCAGTATTGTAAATAAATAAATCAATCAATAAATAAAATTAGCCTTTCTAAAACTTCCCGTAGAAGGGGCCCAACTCTTGAAAGGTTACATGGAACATTTTTATAATTGTCACAACAGTAAAATTGGGTTGGCACGAATACTTACATTTGAAATATGGGATATCGTGATCGACATTAAAAAAAAACAATGCGGTGCATCAGAACACTTCTACCCCTCAGCCTTAGTCTTGGTTCAGACATTTGAGCATCTGACATTTTCCTCAAAATTCAAGAATAAAATAGGTTCGGTTTGAAGTGCGTGAAAAAGGGTCAGGTTAGGACAATAGCCGAACGCACTAAGCACCGCGCAGAAATGACAGACGGGAAGTCAATGAAATATAACGTGGACATTCGTAAAAAAAATACAGCACTAATCTTATGCGCTGTTGGAAAGCGTTTATAAGCTCTCGTATCAGCGTTCGTTTACGAGTGAGCTCAAGGCAAGAATGCTTCGGTGAGTGTCAATCGCGCATTAGCCTTGAGAAGAATTATAATTTAAGGTGAGTGCAATGACTACAGTTTTATCTACGGGTACACTCAGACTTTAATAACATGGGATCTTAGCTTCATTTTTCAAAATGTATGTGGAGCGCACATTGTTCTTGTAAGAAAATAGAAGGCTGTATCGTAACAAAGTGCCAAAATTGTGAATGACTGAGGAATAGGAAAGTCGCGAAAAAGCGTTGGACTATTTTTGGCGCTAGATCGCAAAAAAAAATGAACGCAAATATGCCTTTTAATAGCGCAATCTCCCAAGCCTAATTATTGGAGACACTGCAAGTTGATATTTTATCAAAGTGCCTTCTTGCGACTGTATATGCCTAAACCATGCTCATTAGTCCGTGTAATGGGCCACTACAATTTCACTTAGGCTACCTAGAGTAGTAACTAGAGCAGTAAATTTTGACCAGAGCAGTTAAAATTCATTTCCCCAAGCATCTCCACTCTCTTGAGATGGACAGCCAAGAAAGTTGTGTAACACATGAGTTTACTTCATTTAGTTATCTGAAAATTTTATTTATTTATTTTCGGAGTTACTTATCTATTTAATGACCTATTTATACATAATGTTATTAAATATAATTTTGACATTTTTTATTTTTAATTTATTTATACCTGTTGATTTTTCTCACTAAATCAGTAATGAGTAAGGAAGTTTTCCCAATTTATGTAGCACATACAGGTATATGATTATCCTAGTGTTTTGCGCATATAGAAGTTTATCTTTTTTTCCCACTCCAATAAAAAGCTTTGCACGGTCAGCATGAACATCGTGCATGAAAAACTTCATCCATTTACATTGGATGTACCGTATAACGCATACATTCTCCTGATCATGGTTTCAACATACAAAAGTGAAATGTTGTATCATGAAAATAAGTTTTAACTTACTGTTCGAGCGCAGCAATGCCAAAATCCACCGAAAACTTATCTCGTGGCCGTCCAGATAACCGATGGTAATTGTTTTTAATATTTATTATAATATGCTATCATCTATACGAAAATAAATTTTTTTATTAATTTGTTGCGCCCATTTGGAGTCAGAATATATTACCCAGTTTTGCATTTGCTGACTTTCAACAATGAATTTTGAAGCTTGTTTTCGGCATTGGGTAGTCCGATCGAAAGTGAATTTCAGTGTTATGCACTCACGAGGCAGTACGCTCTTCGCAGCTGTACCCGTTACTGCTACATATCGAAATTGCTTTGACAACGTTTATTACTCTATAAGAAGATGCATCGGCATAAAAAAAAATATCGAAAGGTCTTACATATGAAGGCAGTAAAGTCGCGATATTTCAGTCGTACCCTCTGAAGTGCACATTTCAAAATTGTTTTATTCTAATATTCTGCTTCGACCAGAAAGATGCATGTTTTCTAGCTTAACCACTCATATCATTTTTCTCTCGTCGTGTGTGAAATAGTATATATATTCACTTTTCCAGAACGCTAGTTATTTATTGATGCTGCGAACTCTTCTTGAAGCACTCTACGAGCTCATTTGACAAGCGATGTCGAAAACAATTTGATGTTTAAAAAATGATGATTCTAGACAAGAAGAACATCTGGCAGTATATCTCACAGTTGGCGATGCGGTTACAACTATGCAGCAGCAAAACAAACGCAAGTAAGAATGGCGTGTAACTAATGATACTGAATACATTAATTCCAAAGTGATTTTGATTCTCTTCTTGCTAAGTGTCTGACAATCAATACGTTTTTCAAGTTTTCCAAACAGGTGTGCATTCTCTCTTGCTATAAGTATCAGTGATAGTTTAATATATCACTAACCACCGGATCTTTTCTAAGTATATTTGAGAATTATTTTTATTAATAACTTTCATATATTGCACTTTGCACACGTGGCTATTGTCCTGAATGATGAAGCAGCACAGAGGCAATTTCGATCGAGAGTCGTAGTGTAAGCGATGCTCTCGCTTAAATGGCGATACTCCATGGGTTCATCGTGTCACGATTATCTTTCTTGATGTGGGAAAATCCTTCTAGAACCTTTAATAGCACTCAGTGCGAAACCATCCCCACATACATCTAGAACAGTCAAACACCGTTAATCTCTCGCTTCAATTTCACCTTCTTCACCTTGCTCTCAGCGCCGCGCCCAATTTTCAGCACCCGACGTTGCAAGTTGTTGTCTTGGTGCATGGAGCTGCCACGCTCAGATATTTCTCCCAATTTCTCATAGATGTAGCCCATGGCGTCAAAATTTTTTTGTCGCTGTGGAATTATCCAGTCTTCATTTATAGCTTGACCACACTGATATTCAACAATGAAGCGAAGGCTCCTTACCTTGGCTGTCATCTCGGCGAGTCCTAATGACGCAAGCAATGATAAGTGTCATTGGCACTGCGTATATTTCTGATTATTCGGACAGGGTGCTACCTTTTTGTGTCCGTAGAGCGATCCAGGCTCGGTCGCATAACACATTCTTGAACATATTTATTTTTACAGCAAAATCTGTTATAAGATTTTTCGAGTCACGCGCGATTGAAAGTTGTCCGCCACCGCCGCCGGTGTCCGTAACCACATCACGCGAAATTAGAAAAAAAAATGGCAGCATATCCACGTAGTTAATGATGGAGAGTGCGGCGAAGCATCCGTCCGTTCATTTGTTCTTGCTTCCGTCCGTCCATGCGTGAGTCTGCGTGGCCACCCGTGCTTCCATCCGCCCGTCCGTGCGTGCGTCTGTTCGTGCGTCCGCCGCTGCGTCAGTCCATGCATCCGCCCTTGCGTCCGTCAATCCGTCCATCCGTCAGTGCAGCCACCCGTGCAGCCATCCGTGCAGCCATCCGTGCATCCGTCCATGCATCTGTCTGCGTGTCCGTTCGTCCACCTACTCAACACTCCAAATATTACCATCTCACATCTTTTCATCATGTAATCGATGGATGGATAGATGATGATGATGGATGGATGTGGCTGCACCCTTTAGATCGGGAGGAGGCTAACGCCACCTAGCCATAATATTCAGTGAACTAACCACTAGATTTATCGTTTTTTTTCCTTTAAATAGTAAAGTTGAGGACTGGTACTTCGCAGTGAAGGGTTTAATTTTCACTCTTGCCTTGACTTACCACCAATCAGACAACCTTATTCTAGTTAATTCTACCCGCTTGAAGTCTATTTTGCCCTCTTTGTCTCTAAACCCCAGTGCTTCCTCATGTAGAAGCACCGCCATCCAGCGGACATTCCAAGGACTAAACGAGAGGTGACACACGCACACTTTCTTACGGCTTGCGCTTCGGGTCTACTTCCCACCTTTAACCACCTCGAGTTCATGTTATATACTAGTTCACTGTATTCATGGCACTGCTATCCAACGCCTCTAAAACCAAAGAGGTTATGCCCAGCAAATATAACGTAGCAACCCTTTCTTGTCAGATAGTGCTCAATGAACATGCCAATCGCTGCTAAGGGGGAATGAGAGACAGTAGAATTCAGCTTTCAGTTAACACGCACGCTGCGAATTTTTTTATTGTTCAACAACGCACAGAAGAAATGTCCCACCAGCATTACCTTGGAGGTCAAAATGTAAGACTCGTTACACACTACTACTATGACTACGAGGGACGAACAGGTGCCGCTATAAGAAACTTCACCCATAAACACCTTGCACCAATGACACGGTGGGGCTTGAACCCGAGTCCACTGGGTACCAGCCCACCACTGAGTTACGCTGGTGCTTGTAACTTGTTCTCAAATTTGCCTTAGGCAGGCATGACCTAGCCCTAATGGCTTAGTGGGGCTTTAACCCGGATCCACTGGGTGCCAGCCCAGTATTCTACCACTGAGCTACAACGGTGCTTGTGACTTGTCAAACTTGCCTTAGGCAGGCTTGACGTCGGGAAATCAATCGCGTTAATACAACATACAAAGCGTTCTATAACAGCGAAACATCAACAAGTCGTCGCACAATGCGAATAACGTAACGAGCGCGCCGTCCAATGCTCCAACCCATTACAAGATCTTATTTTAGGGGCGAAGCTCCTTAGGGCGTGGTCTGTGCGTCCCCTGTATGTAGCCACCTCTAGTTTAGTTCTTGCAGTGTTCACTAGATGGCGGTACCGTCCCCTGTATGTACCCACCTCTAGTTTAGTTCTTGCAGTGTTCACTAGATGGCGGTACCGTCTCCTGTATGTAGCCACCTCTCGTTTAGTTCTTGTAGTGTTTACTAGATGGTGGTACTTGTAGCTGATGATGAAAAGATGCAAGATGTTATAAACTAGAAAGCGGTACTTGTAGTTGATGAAAGACGCGAGATCTTATAAAATAGGAATGATGTCACATATGGCGCGTGTCATTGGTTGAAGGCAATCGTTCGATTTAGTGCGGCGACGTACGCTAGGGGGAGCGATGTAATAAAATCGAGTGGGCAAAATGTACAGAGGATTCATGGTTTACCAGGTTTACCTCCGGAGCTTCGCCCACTCATCATCATTCACTTCGTGGATATGGCGGAATTTTTTTGTTTCTCTATCAACTGTGGCGCATACCCACTTCAGCCACAATTCCTTATCATCGTCAGTCACTGCATGAACAATTGGCACAAGATTCCTTGCAAGTGTTTAGCGGATACCACGCTTCGCAGAAGAATGACGAAAAATAGCATAGCGAATGCCGGCCTACTACCCAAGAGTTTATTATTAATGTGCTAGTGGGTACCAAGCAAGCGTGCTTGCAGTATAGTTACCCAATGAGTGCTTAGAAAAAGCTCTGAAAGGCCGCTCTTCTAGCTTTCGCTGTGACTGTGCTGCGCCTACTGGGCAGGCCTCGCGTTTTTTTTTTCTTTATCATCAAGCATGACTCACTCAGCACTTCTGTCACCCTAGAGAAATGTCAATAACTCTGTTCCCCTCTACGAGCGTAAAGTGACGCTGCTGTCTGCATAAATATTGCATGTTTAGGTACAATGGCAAACGATGAAGATGAAGTGAAACATAAGAGACACGAACGGTATAGCTCAACTTTCAATGCTATTGTAAATATCGCGCTTGCCAATGTGCTTTCTTTCGTGCAGTTTCACGACGTCGATTGCAGTAGATAACCAACGTTCCAAACACACCATCCCTTTATACATTGAAAAAAAAAATTGCCGGCATTATTTTGCATAAACCTTTTAAAAGAAGGCTATTGTACTTACTAAATTCTGTTTACTAACTACTTTTCATATATACATTACTAACTGGTGAGTGAGTGCAGTTAGTAATGTGGAGGTTAGAAACCATTACTACCCTCGCTCTTACAAAACGCAATTAGTTATGGTTATTAAAAAATGTGTTAGCAGCGGTTACTTCGCCTTTTAAATCACTGATTTTTATAATGGTCCAATGTGCAAAAGTTAACATTCTAATACATCACTGGGTTATTATGCACATTAGTCATAAATGAGATCAGCACACATTCACAACGACAATCAACGCGACATTTTTTTTCTTTATTGGACAATCAACGCGACACTTTTTTTTCTTTATTGACAATCAACGTGACACGTACAGTTCAGAAGTGCATCCAGGAATATTTAAAGTACTACCTTCAGGGAACGCAGCTGGTGCCTCTGGGTGCCTTAGGGTAAGCAACTTATGTTGCAGTCATCTTTTTACACAGAATGCAATTTTACTAGTTGCGTGAAGGAACAACGCGTAGGACTTTTAATCAAGTATACTAAGACACAGAGTATGCTGCGACTACTTGCATAATATTAGCTCAACATAGCCTAATAAAGAAGACCAAAGACTGGGCATTAAGCTTGCATATATCGCCACAATGAACTCGAATAAATCCCCGTGCAACTTAATAGGTTTTTAGACGCTCGTAATAATAACCCCTAAGGTTTCTTGAACAAGTTCGTTGAAGGTGCACGGCAAAAACTTAGTAACGGTGCGCATAAAGTAGTAACCCTTGTAACCTTCAAAGTTCTGCTAACGTAGGTAGTAAAAAGGTCGTAAAAAGTTAGTAATGGCCCAAGGAGGTTAGTAACGGCTTCTGCTACTATTTCTTTTGGTTGCAAGCTTTTCCCTAAATTTTTAAAGAGTGTACGCAAGTCTTTGGACGCTAAACCAAGTGCAGCAATTTTTCATCCAAACGGATGGTACTTGTATTAATTATGTCGATTCGCGTTATAAATGACCTGCAATTGTGGGGTTTTTAGGGAAGTATATACGCCAGTTAGGTTGATGAAAGCCATGTTCTGAACGTTACCGACATCCTCCAGTGTAAAGAATGGTGCTGTCAGTCAGTGGTATATAGAACGTATGTAGCTCTGCTCGGATATTTATTTGTCGAGGGATGGTGTGGAGCCTCAATTTAACACTTTTATGAGGCACAGTAGTTATAGGTGACGCCAAACATGACGTTCAGAATCTTTTGTCTCGGCATCTAACATTACTGCGGCTGTTTTTCGCGACATACCTTCAGTTCTTAATTTCTCTTCCTTACATTGATTGTTTTACGAAGATAAAAAAGTGCGCTAAAATTAAAGCAACAGGTGGATATTTATTTATTCTGGAATGTTAATCGAGGACAACTTTATAAAAGTAGTCCATGCAATATTAGCCCATTTAGCAATACAGATCTTTGGGAATATATCGATCTGGACGCTTACTACAATGAATTATATGTTCCCAGCACACCATGTTCAAATATTTCTACTTGGCTTCTTTATTGCGGATATGTAGAATAGGAACAGATATTCTAATTACGAATAGCAAATGACGTCACTGTAAAATTCTCACAAGCCAAGTGTACATGTATGCTCACGGCTGTCCCGGCATGCAGGACTTCGAGATATGCTGCCATATAAATTAACCATTACTATTCTACCACATCGCAGCTCATTTCTTCTTACCATAACCTTATTATTCAGGCCTATAGAAACCTCCGTATCGACAAAAGCATGCACTTTTTAAATAAATCTGTTTTTAGGACGTGCCCTTAATGAAGTGAGGTAGCCGCATTTTGGTTACATGGGTGTAGTGGTCTACCCATGGTTCCTTGTTTTTTGTTTTCTTTTGTTGTGTCTCAATATTTCTGCTTTTAGGCCAGTAATTTGAAGTTGCCCTTCTTGTGTCTTCTATCATGTCCCGCTGTGTTCTTGGCGTCATCAAATACTTCATCGCTAATATTCTTGAGGTATCCCAAGAGGAGTTCTTCCTTATTGGGTAATACTGTTTGTGATTCCATTTGGCATACGTTGTGCGACACACTGAATGTAAAAGCCTCTATTATTGTTTCCATTGTGTTTTAGGACTCAGGAACATCTTCACATTGTGCACACCGTCACGTGACGTTGCCCAACCATATTTGTCGCAAAAATATACTCAGAGAATTGCAGACAAGTGTTATTGACTAGAATACCCATTGAGATGTACCAGGCTTCATTAATTCTGCTTTGAACACTATTGAAGCGGACGTATTGGCCACCAAAATAAGCCAGTGTGCATACCATTTAATTCGTGCCGACCATTCTTAAAACATCCACCCCATAAATGCAGCAGTTTTCTGTCTACAGTAACCTCCAACGAGCGTGTTACTCATTGTATGTACGGTATGTATTGAATGATTTCCATTGTTTGTCACTTTGCCCAGGGTTAAAGGAGAAATGATGTAAGCCGTAGATTATTTAAGTTCAAATTGTTGACTATCTGATTTGTAGGATAACACGTCGTCATCGTCGTCGCTATCATCATCATCATCATCATCATCATCATCATCATCATCATCATCATCATCATCATCATCATCATCATCATCATCATCATCATCAGTCTGACTACATACACTGCAGGACAAATGCCTCTCCCATGTTCCACCAGTCAACTCGGTCCTGTGCTTGCTGCTGCCAATTTATACCCGCAAACTTCTCAATCTCATCTGCCCACCTAACCTTCTGTCTCCCCCTAGCCCGCTTCCCTTCTCTGGGAATCCAGTTAGTTACCCTTAATGGCCAGCGGTTATCCTGCCTACGCACTACATGTCCGGCCCATGTCCATTTCCTCTTCATGAATTCAACTATGATATCCTTAACCCCCGTTTGTTCCGTAATCTACTCTGATGACACGTGCAGTGGCCTCATTACATGAGAAACAACTGCTATCTCTATTAGCATTATCCTGGCTGCTAGAACTGTAGAATAGTGACGGGACTTTGGTGAAATCTTTATTCTGTCTCTTTAATAAACTTGAGGAGAATTCCTTTTTGGCCTCGCCGGAGATCCTTCAATCTTATGCATTTCCTTGTCACATCTTCTAATGCCCTGAACAATAGGAATATTATATCTGAAATATTCATAAACAAATGCACACCACTGAAGCAGTGTCTGTGCTTCAGTTGGACGTTCAATTAAATGAAAAGCGTTTTTTTTTTTCACCGGGGGGTAAAAGAAATTAATCACGCCACCTATTTTCTCTCGTCCCCTACAGCACTTCATTTCGTTAGGGCCCATTCTGTTACCCTGTGCAGATAACTGGCTTCTTAATGACCAGGTAAGTGACTAGGCCATTCTTTTTCTTCCGGCTAATTATAAAGTGCATGGGCAAAATTAGTTATTATTATCAGCAACATTCTCAACAAAGTGGTCAGCTGCACGTGTCGTCTTATGTCTTCATTACGATTACTTCTAATAACATCCCCTATACATTTCTTGGCAAGATTGTCGGTTAGATCTCAATAATACTGTGTCTACCAAAGAAAACGAGCCTTTAAATGTACACTTCTTTTCTTTATTTAAGGGGAGATGCGGATCGAAAAACTCAAGTTTTTTTTTCAAAATTACCGATTTTTTATTTTCACCTGTTTTGATAAGATTAGTACCTCTATTGTTCCGAAGAAAATAATACAGGTCGAGACTTAACTGGGAATGCTTTATAATTTCATCTAAAGAGCACAAGGTGCCTGTTGAAAGGTCGAAAGTGTGCAGTCTTCGAGCACCTTGCCGCCGATAATGCGCCGCCGCGAGCCATTGTTGATCGCGTGAGCCGAAGAGTCGAGCTTCACTCTTCAAATAACAACAGTTTCTCTCGCTGATGCAGTGAAGGAAATAATAACAAGAATCACTCTTCTGCGCGTTTTTCAAGCGCGACTGGCTTATCACATGGTATGAATCGGGAACCGCCATTGGCCGCTGCGCGCCTGTATGTGCTGTGAAACCTATCTGCGGGGTCCACGTCTTGTCGAGCAGTGCAGCTGAACAATGCTTTTCTCGTGTAATTATCTCCGTTATGAATGAAAAAAGGCATTGCTCGCAAGTGAAAGCGGTTGTGCGGCGCGCTGTGTAGGAATAGGGTACGAGCAGCTCGTACGATTTGCGGCAGTTGTTGGCTTGCAAAAACCAATGCATCAAAGTCATTTACACCCATCAGCCGGAGAGTTCGTGATGCGGCAATGAATGACGTCAGCGCCAATCTTGAGAGGCCGAAAGAGCTCGCAGTGAGAGAACTTAGAAGGGACGACATTGCCATTATGTACTACGGTATGTGGCACAAACATGGCTGCAAAATGGCATGGCACTGGGCTTAGTTTGGATTTCGAAGTCCTGTCGAACTTCTGCCTAGCTTGCAGTTGGCACAAGGCTCTGCCAGATGGAGCGGAAGTTCGGCAAGCATCTCATGGCACTGGCGTATTTTAGTCGCAGTGGCCACTACAAGAAGGATTGTTCTTTTTGGTGTGCAAATTTCATCTGATTTAATAATATCTTTCTTAAATAAAAACGCAATTTTAACTTTAAAACTCGTTTTTCTCACAACGCAAATTTTGCCATTTTTTTCAATGTGCCCCTCCTTTTACGGGCTTTTATAGTGCTTGGATCTAAAGGAAACTTTGCCCAAATTTATTCCAAAGTATGACAAATGCAATTATCTAGTTTAAATTTCAATATTTTTTGTATAATAAAAATTGTATGTATACCTTTACTAGGGTAGGTGAAATATAGACTTTTTATGTTTATTATTTTTCACGCGTATTACATATTTTGTTTGTGCTTCCTAATTAGTTATTTGCACTCTATACTTTGTTTGAAGCATTATGAACTATGAATGGTAAAAAATCACAAAAGTTTAGAGAGGAAAGGAAGGGGGCGAAATGATTAAGGTTTTCAGTTTGTCATGTTGCAGAGCTAAAAGTTTGTAACTTGCAAAAAAACTAATTATATATTTGAAATAAGCATAAAAAGTTCCATATCCAGCTCAAGTTTCATGGCTCTAGGGTGAGTATTAAAGAAAAAGTGTCTTCGAGTAGCATCTCCCCTTAAGCGTTAAAATACTTCGTCGTTTCGCAAAAAAAAAAAAAAAAAATCATGGCATCGTGAGCCCTTTGCATCTGTACTTGTAGTAAGCATACCAGAACAGTTTGAAATGGCCAATGTTCTGCGCACATGCCACCTTTTCGCGGTGACACAGTGTCCACGGAGAAGTGCAGCGAAGGTCGTGATTCAATGCGATGTTAATGGTGCCCGATAGCACTATCGTGCCCTATAGTTGAAGGCAAAGCTCAAGCGTTCTTTAGGTTACTAGTCTCTTATCCGTACCTATGCTTGCTCTTCAGAACACAACATAGTCTTTTTGTATTTCAGAGTTTTATACTGCTTGTAACACTTCGTTTCAGCACTCCTTTCATGGCCATAATTCAACGCACCAAGGCATTCTATTAAACTTCTACTTTCTGCTGCACGTGTTAAACTTCTACTTCCTGCTGCACGTGTTATATTAAGGGTAAGCAAATGACTCTGAGCACTTATATTTGTGTAGCGACGAGATACCGTAAAAGTTCTTCCGCATGCCCTCTGATTCATTTATACTCTACTGTACTTTTATTTTTCTCGTTACCAGTATCCCTACAAAATGCTCTCGTGCAAAACTAGACTGGAAAAGCCAGGCAACATAACTCTTTTGTGGTTTTCAGCCAGCTGTCTACACCTGGCAAAAGTAAAGCGAGAAGAATCGGCGATGTTAAAACAAGTTTGCCGAGCAATGATAACTAGGTCTTGCTTGCTTGGTAAAATGACAGGAACATTTGTTAGCGGACACTTAACATTGCTATACGTCTTCGTTTACGCAAGTATGGTGGGAAGTCTATACAAGCTTCGTCTACATATCGCAACAACGAAGCGAAAGTATTGCACAACAACACAATAAAGACACTCTGCTCGATGCCATGAGCACGAACGCGCAATCAGTGTCCCTGATGGCGATAAATGAACTTCATTACCCAGATGATGTACCGAATATTAATGGCTGAAAACTATGAGTCGTCTGATACGAGGTGTTGTTTGCTCATCTTTCTTTCGGTTGTTGTATACCTTTATATATATATATATATATATATATATATATATATATATATATATATATATATATATATATATATATATATATATATATATATATATATATATATATATATATATATATATTATATATATATATATATATGCGTTTACAGCTGTGAACGTTCTCTTGTGGCATGTCGTCTTGTGGCATGTCGTCCTCCGTCTGTCCTTGCTAGAAAGTCAGAACACCTATGCCATTTATGTCAATTCGGCAGTCAGCTATATAGTTTCTGTAAGAGCAGCCTTATTCTCGGGAAGTAGAAACTTTTACGAACATATATCAAACATTTTAGGGCTCTAGACTCTCTGTTGAGTCACACTGCCTTCTCAACAAAATGTAAAGTTGCGTGTGCTCTTTTTTAAAACAAAAACAAAATTAAATTCAACTGCAGCAAAATGTCTCTTATGAGGGTTCTCTGACTTTCATCGACACACTGAGCTTGCGTAAAGCCTCTTCACTCTCTACCCTTCACCATAAATTTCAACAGTACACGGACCAGTGCAGCATTAATTATTGGATAGCAGCATAGCTAAATGGAAGCTATAGACTGATATAACTCTCAAAGCTCGCGGCATTTCCTCCTCAGGGTCGGTTACACTAATGGCCGCACTGTCCCGATAGGATTCAGCATACTGACGGCTCGGGACCTAATCTTCGGATAAACTTGCATGACAGTGCTTGAGCGGGGCTATTTCTTAAGCCAAGGCGGGAGTCGGCTGCCGCGTCATGTTGGCAGGGCTTCTCCAAACTTTTTAGCTGCATCCGATTGTAGGTTTACTGTCCCTCCTGCTGGTGGAAAAGTGGAATTCGTTTATTGCGCTAAGAACTATAGCATCGATGCAGGATCACTCATGCACTTCAATTGATGAATTTTATTTTGTGCAGTTAAACATTTTGTTGTGATTTGTTTTGGTGTACACTATTAAAGAAAGCGAAAACATTGGGTAGCCTACAGGGGCGCCATTTATGTCCTTCGACAGAAAACAATGTCTTACGTTCACGGATCACAAGATTCTTATAAAAGCACGTTATGCGCATGGCTCATTCTGTTGGAACTGCGGCTAATAGCAAAGATAGTGATGCATTTGTGGTTCTGATCTTCAACCTTTCTACTCTCGAAATGAATTGTCACTATGGTGCCCATGCTCCCCAATCGTCAATCTGAAACCACTTGCTCTGTACTTTCAACTTCGTTCCTAACAAAACTTTGTAAAATCGCAATATTGTGAAATCGAAGTGTGTGGGGATAGAATACGAATGGAATGCGACTACGAGAATAATGTTTGGCATGATATGGTGTCGAGCATGAGACGTCGAACACACTGATAGGTTTTTAAGGGTATGTTTAGCGGAGATGTATAGAGCTGGATGCAATACTATAGGAAAATAAACTTGGCATCATTGCTTCATCATCAGTACCCCAAGATAGCTGGGCTTGCACTCAGACGCGCTTTAGTTGCAACAAATGTATTATACTGTGCTGGAAGGAGTGCAGAATATCAGGCACGCCTGAATATCAGGCACACATTAGCGGTGTCGAACCCATTGGCTCTGAAGCTTTCATTTGGTGCTATGAAAGGGAACATCCCTGCTATGGCGACACGGCAATTATAGAATCTGAAAAGGAGTGGAAAAAGAGGCACGCATTAGCAAATAAATGCAACGCGGACCACTTTCTTCGGTAAAACCTTAATGCGGGTCAGTAAGTTCAACAATGTGAAACACTGAAACAATCTCAACAATGAAACAAATACAAAGGGCGTCGTAAGCACCTGGTCTGCGACAGCTGTTGAATACGAAGTAACAAGTGATGTATTCATTCTTTGTCGCAAACAAAATGCCCTTGTGGGAGTCTAAATATTTTACAGTTCGCTTTAAAAAAAGCATTTACATTGAAGATCACACACTCATTACCTTATCTGCTTTTTCTCGCATAGTTATGAAATGTCTATGCTTTCGCAAACTTTTCAGATTGCCGAAGGTGCTATAAAAATAAAGTGGCAACATGCTCATTAAAGGGCTGTGTGTCATGTCACTCTTGTGGTGGTCACTTGCACAGGCCAGCTGGAACCGCGTTCAATATGTTGAAGTTTCGGTCAACGTCACTGGACGTAAGTATTTCCCTGTTCAGGATACAGAATGCTTTTCTTACGGATTCTTTCTTTGCACACCGCAGTGATTCACTGCCTAGTTTTGTCGTCATTAACACACACACGCGCGCACACACTCACACAAACACACGAACACGCACACGCACGCACGCACGCACGCACACACACACACACACACACGCACACACACACACACACACACACACACACACACACACACACACACACACACACACACACACACACACACACACACACACACACGCACACACACACACACACACACACACACACGCACACGCACACACGCACAACGCACACACGCACACACTGTTCTAAGTTATTTCTGCATTTTTTCTTATATTCTGAAATTTGTTTACTTATGCTGAACGTTTCAAGAACGAGCTGTTTTGCACAGATAGATCGAATATCGGGTATAGCAACTAAACCTACAGATATCACATAATTTATTCATCACGTGCGACCCAAGGTAGCTGCAGGTTATTGTGGTTTTGGGATGTTAAACCCCACAAATCAATCAAATCAAGGTAGCTGCACGTCATGCAATAGGGGGCCAATGGAGTGCCATCATGATACTAGATATTGAATTTTGTTACAGTTATCGAAAATATTTTGCAATGAAAAGTAGGCCCATTTATTTTTTTAGGGTTGAAAGTAAAATACATATAAGGAGACTAAAATTTTTAAGTTAGAATCACTCAGGAAGAATAAAGACTCAGTCCTAAACATAAGCAAGTGTTCTGGAGCAACACTAAAATTCTTGAAGTTCTGGAACAACTATAAAAAACTGAAAAAATATTGACAATATTTTTACTGCTTGATAGCTAAGTTTAAAACGTATTAAATTTCCTTAGTCCACAACAAACGCAAACAAGCATTCCACAAATATGTTCTTCGTAAAACAAAGGTAGAGAATACATTTGTTGCACCAAATACGGATCTTGTGACCTTAATTTTCGGTTCAAAACATTGATTTTGTTTTATTCGAGCAATAATAGCGATGAGAGAAAAACAAGCGGAAAGCTTAATAACGGTAGGGGACATCATTATCATTATAATGCTCCTATGCCTCTCCAATATATATATATATATATATATATATATATATATATATATATATATATATATATATATATATATATATATATATATATATATATATATCCTGCCTGCCCACGGCAAGTTATCTTTTCACCCACTTTTCTTCATAATTACATTGCAATAGTCTAATATCTTCCTCCATACTTTTCTTGGCATTATTATCTGTTAGATCTCAATAGTATAGTGTAAAAACGCGAAAAAACGAGTCCTTAGGCATACACTTCTTTCCTTATATATATATATATATATATATATATATATATATATATATATATATATATATATATATATATATATATATATATTTATATATACATATATATATATATATATATTGCTACGGTAACCGACGTCATAAGCCACTGTCGCGCATTCGAGACCCTGAAGATGCGACGTATCACCCCCAAGTTCGGTCGCCTACCGAATGTAACCACCGTGGCAAGTGTTGACAAATACACGCCGCTTGATCTCACGTCGACAATACGCCAGATCGTTCGAGAAGAGCTCACTCGGCACGCTCGCCCGACGCCGTACGAGCCTACACCCGCACCACCTCCCTCTTGCCCTTCCGTGTCAATTGCCGCAGCAGGCAACGATGACTGCAACTACAGGCCACCCTCACCACCGAGGTCACAGCGCAATAACTACCCGCTGTCGAGGTACGAAGACCGCTTCAGTTACCCCCATCAGCCAGCCAACACCTATTACGACCCGAACCCTCCCTGGCGAGAAGAGATCCGGTGGTTGCGGAAAGAAGCACGCGTTTGTGTATGTGAAATGTGCGACGGGCGTTGTCTACGAAATACCGCTGTCTTGTGGGAAATTTTACGTGGGTCATACGGGGCGTTGCGTGAACGACCGTGCAAGGGAACATGAGCTGTCACTTAAAAATAACGGGATCACGCATTTGCCCGCGCATTGCAAAGCTTGCACGTGCTCACCGATTTTCTCGGAGATTAGGATTTTGGGTCGGAGTGCTGATACCACTGCCCGGGAACTGATGGAAGCGTTTTATATTTCTGCTAGAGGCAATACCTGTGTTAGTGATACATCCATTTCGCTTTTTTAAAGTGAGCGTCATTTTTTGCGTGGCCTGTTGTAAACTATTAGGTTCTGTCCTCGTGACCACTTGACTATGTTCTGTGCGACTGTAAATTGAAGGTTGACGAAGAATTAAATTTAGTTGAAAGTCTGCGCTTGTCCCTGTCTCTTCTCTGCTGTCGTTTGTCTGTTTTTTTGTGCGCACACCAGTTTACCCAGTATTATGAACCAACTCGCCCAGCTACAAGTTTTATTGAACCACATTTCTACTACAACGGGCCCTTTCTGTTAAGGAAAGGCCTGGTACCGGCAGAAGTTTTGGGGCTGTTCGGTTTTGCGTTAGCGACGCCAGGTCATGCCAATCGCGTGTGTCGTCTTATCCGCTCTGAACTTTGGAGGCAAACTCGGCTTCTCCAGGATTATCTGCGTGTCTTTTGCTATGCTAGTGACCCGCCCTGGAAGGCAGAAGTGGAGTTGCGTTCCCTGAGGGCGTACACTGCTCGCATGGTTGAGTTTTGGTGGGCCTCCTACCTGAGTAGTGTGCTTCACGTTATCCGAAAGAAAGCCGACAAACGAAGAGGTGAGTCACCTGTTCTCGTCTTAGGAGATGATGTGGAAATCCCGGAACACGTGGAACGCATCCTCAAGAAGGGTCCCAAGTTTAGCTATGAACCAGTTGTGCCGCCTCAAGAATTGCTTGCTTTTAACAGACGTGTTGCAACCAGAGCACCTCAAGATCAGTATGTGCGCTGTTTGCTTGAGGGCGTCGACGCATTGTCAAGGACTGTGCATAAGGCAAACTGCCATCAGCGGCGGGATCCCACAGAACAGGTGGTGAAGTATTTCAGAGAAAATGATCTTTGCCTTCTTCAAGCGGATAAAGAGGGCGGTTTTGTTGTTCTAGGATCTGGTTCGTATGCTGAGAAGGCTATGAAGGCAATTTCTAAGAACTTTGTTTCTGTTAAAAGCAGTACTGTTCGTGTTAAAACTAAAGCAGTTAACATGTGCAAGGACTTTGAACTCGTTCGGTTGGCAAGAGATATTAGCACAAGCAAAGGTAATGCACTCAAAGTTTTCTTCACTGCAAAGACGCACAAGCCTGGAGTTCCTTTGCGAACGATAGTTAATGAGCAGGGTTCATGGCAGCATTCAGTTAGCCAGTTCTTGCTCAAAGAACTGAATGGGCTGAAAGTTGTGGATCCTTTCGCTACAAAGAGTTCAGAGGATGTTGTGCGGTTTCTGCAGGTCGAGATTTGTACGGACTTTATGTTTTCTGTGGATGTAGAGGATCTATTTTATTCCGTTCCTCATGCGCAGTTGTTCGCGTCTGTTCGTGCCTGCATTGATTCGAATGGAGTCATAGCTTTTCAAAATGCTTCCGGCTTATCGGTCGAGAATTTCATGTCGTTACTAGAATTTTATCTTCGTTCTACCTTTGTTTCATTTAAAGATGGTTTTTATCTGCAGCGAGAAGGTATTTGTATTGGATCGTGCGTGGCGCCTGTTTTATGCAACATTTTCTTGGCGGATGTTGATCGGGGTTTAGTTAGCATTCTTGATAATAGATGCGTTGTTAAAGTTTTTAGGTATGTGGACGATTTTTTAATTCTTTTAAAGAGACCCCGTTTTACTTCTTTGGACAACTCTGTTGACGCTATTCTTAATGCATTTAAACTGTGCGGTAAGGGCTTGACCTTCACCTATGAATTTCCTACTGATAATTCGTTGCAGTTTTTAGATTTACGTCTCGTTTTATATGACCATCTATGTTGGCGTTATTGTCCCCGTGCGCAGAAGGCCCTTTTGTCCTATGATTCTGCGCATTCTAAACTTGTAAAAAGGGGGATTGCCAAACTGTGTCTACGGTCCGCTCTTGAGAAGTCATGCTCACATGCAATGCAAGAAAGCTTTAATGATCAGGTGCGGCGTTTAATTGCCGCTGGGTATCCTTGCACGGTAGTCTCGGCAGTCGCTGAAGTGCTTCTGCGTGATGCCAAAGCAGTCCGTTCCAGCGGGAACCCTGGCCTGCGTCGCAGGTGGCGTCCGGAGGTGATGCCTTATATGCATCGCATTTCCCACAACCTCAAAAAGATAGCGAGTAGACACGGTGTGCCGATCGTGTTCTCCGCCCCACGTAAGTTGGCTGGACTTTGTCCCAGAATCTTCCCTGGCGAGAAGAGATCCGGTGGTTGCGGAAAGAAGCACGCGTTTGTGTATGTGAAATGTGCGACGGGCGTTGTCTACGAAATACCGCTGTCTTGTGGGAAATTTTACGTGGGTCATACGGGGCGTTGCGTGAACGACCGTGCAAGGGAACATGAGCTGTCACTTAAAAATAACGGGATCACGCATTTGCCCGCGCATTGCAAAGCTTGCACGTGCTCACCGATTTTCTCGGAGATTAGGATTTTGGGTCGGAGTGCTGATACCACTGCCCGGGAACTGATGGAAGCGTTTTATATTTCTGCTAGAGGCAATACCTGTGTTAGTGATACATCCATTTCGCTTTTTGATAGTGAGCGTCATTTTTTGCGTGGCCTGTTGTAAACTATTAGGTTCTGTCCTCGTGACCACTTGACTATGTTCTGTGCGACTGTAAATTGAAGGTTGACGAAGAATTAAATTTAGTTGAAAGTCTGCGCTTGTCCCTGTCTCTTCTCTGCTGTCGTTTGTCTGTTTTTTTGTGCGCACACCAGTTTACCCAGTACGACCCGAACGAAGATGTACCCGTACCGCCACCACGTCAGCGCAATGCCTTCCAGGAGTGCAATACATACCAACAAGCCCCTGTGTGCTACCGTTGTGGTATCGCCGTGCATATAGCTCGGTTCTGTCGTCGACAGAGAGAGCCGACATCCCGATATCGTTCCCCATCAGAGTTTCCGCCAGCGGGCACTGGTCACAACAACGGTCATTGGCCCGCCTATTCCAGGAGTACCTCACGGTGGAGAAATCACCGTGGCCGTTCTCCCGCTTCTGACCGTAGTTTGACGCCTCCATCTGGCCGACTGCATTGTTCCTCTTCGCCGGGATGACGCCTGTCATCACCGCCGCCGCCGGGAAACTAGCCAGCGCGACCGATGGAGGTGAGGTCGCACAACAGGATTTGCCTCAGATGCCTCCACCAGTTATAATTTCCAAGAACAAGATACGTGTGGAAATAGATGGCTTTTGTACAAGTGCGTTGGTGGACACTGGTGCTACGATATCAGTTATGAGTCATTCTTTCATAAGTCGCATTGGCCACAAAGTTATGTTTTCTTGGGGCGAATCAACAAGGTTTCGTGGTGTTGGTGGGGAAGTACTTCATCCTGTCGGAGTTTGTGCCGTCAATGTCTTCTTGGCAGGAAAGGTGTTCCCAACAGAGTTTCTTGTGCTGCAACGTTGTACCCACGATGTGATTCTTGGTCTTGACTTTCTCCAAGGGTGTGGCGCTTTCGTCGACTGTAGAAGCGGTGAACTTTCCGTCAGCGGGGACATTGTTCCCGCCCTCGTCGATGAGGCGCCGCAGGCCGTGAAGGACGCTCTGATTGTTTCCGATGAGCTGACAGTGCCGCCATGGTCAATGAAGTCAGTTGGGGTGTTCGCCCCAGAATTCGCCATATCTTTTGACACCATCGTTGAACCTGCAATCGTTCAATGTGCTAAGAAAGGCATATTCGTCCCTCGTTGTTTGGTATCTGTTGATGAAGTAGCAACCTTTCTGTGGGCACTGAACTGTTCGCCAATGCTGGTTGTGCTCCCTCGAGGAACGAAGCTTGGCGTCTTCGATGATTCTACTGAAGGTTCTGTAGCGGTCATTAACAATGATTAAAGCGAGAAAGGTACAGTCTCTGGCAAGCGCAGTTGCTCTTACGAGTCGCAGATCCTAGGCATGATTAGCGCCACTTTGCGGTAACACGAACAGCAGACGTTACGCCATCTGTTGAGGCGACATGCTTCTGTGTTTGACTTTTGCCAACAGGAGAAGCCACTACTTTTACCATGTTCTCGCGCTCACCATAGGATTGACACCAGCACTGCCCATCCGATCCGACAAAAGCCTTATCGAGTGTCATCATCAGAACGAAAAGTCATTGCCGACCAGGTTCAGGAAATGCTGAAGAAGGGTGTTATTGAAGAGTCGTGTAGCCCGTGGGCAGCACCGGTCATCTTGGTTAAGAAGAAAGATGGTGCCTGGCGGTTCTGCGTTGATTATAGAAGACTCAACGCTGTGACCAAAAAAGATTTATATCTGCTGCCTAGGATTGACGATGTTATTGACTGCTTACACTCGGCTTCGTACTTTTCTTCATAAGACCTACAATCAGGATATTGGCAGATACTTATGCACCCTTCAGACAAGGAGAAGACCGCATTCGTGACGCCTGATGGACTGTACCAATTCAATGTGATGCCGTTTGGGCTTTGCAACGCCCCCGCCACTTTTGAAAGGTTTATGGACTCTGTCCTTCGTGGTCTTAAATGGGAGGTGTGCTTATGCTACCTGGATGACGTCGTCATTCTTGGGCGTACCTTCGAAGAGCATAACGTCCGTTTAAGCCTTGTTTCAGACTGTGTCGGAAAGGCTGGCTTGATTTTGAACTCTAAGAAGTGCCGGTTGGGTGAACGACAAGCTTTAGTCCTCGGTCACCTAGTTGACAAAGATGGAGTCCTCAGGCCGCACCAGACAACGTCGTCTCTCTCTTCTACCTACCCGGCACATACTACAGCCCGGAATCATACCGTAGCAATATATATATATATATATATATATATATATATGAAATAGAGGAACAGAGTTTCTTCTGGCTACCGTAATAAAAGTGATAAACTTCGATCGAGAATATAGCAGTATATGAAACAATACTTTATTTATTTATTCCTAATAGTTTCGGCTGGTAGACCAGTCTTCTTCGGAGAATCTAAGCAAAATCATCATTTTGCTCAAGTCCTCTAAAAAAGGCTGGTGCACCAACCCCGAAACTGTTAGGAATAAATAAACAATTGTTTCGTTTCTATACAGCACTATTCTCGAAGTTCATCATACATGCGCATGCTCCACGAGGAAACAAATTTCTGTTTAAATATGGATGCTGGCTATAAAATAAATACTTTAACGATTTGGGCATGCAACGAAATTGAACACTTTATGGTGCCATGAGGGTTGGTTTTATAAAACAAATGTAGCCCTCTGGGAAGTTTATTCATTTGCAAATTCAGTGCGTGGATTGTCTAATGTTATTATTATATCTATATATCTAGGGTTCGAATGATAACACCAACACAAGAACTTTTTTCAATTGAATAAAGTAACACGCTGCTTACAAAAGGCTGTGACTGATCATCGTGCTTCCTTATTACAGGGCACTGCACTTATGATAATCACAACTTCACAGATAAAATGAACCCGAACAAAACTTGCGAGGAGCGTTGGTGTTACTTAAAAAGAAAAACGGTGGCACTCCTGACGTATGTAGGAGCTCATTTTTTTCTTTTTTTTCAATTAGTCATACCAACGTACTAGTTGATTAGTCATAGTATTCAATTAGTCATCAGTCATATCAGTTACTTAGTCATAATGACTTTCTAATTGTGATTCATGACCTTGCTCAGCACTTAGCACACATTATTTTCATACCATATGATCACTGTCTCTTATCTATGGCAGTGACGTTTCAGAGCATATCGCGTCTTGCTAAGTTAAAACTTGACACTGAGGCACACAGACGTAAGCTCTCTCATGTTGATTTTTCTTCCGGATACTGTCTAAAAGGGTGAAATGCACCTAAATGATGTAAAAAAAAATCTCATGAATGGTAGTATTAAATGTTTTTACAGCGAAAGCTGTTATGAGATCACAGCTCGAATCACGCGCAGTTGCATGTTGTCCGCCACCGCCGCTGCTGGTGTCCGTACCACATCGTGTGAAATTAGAAAAAAGAAACCTTGCACCAATGACACAGTGGGGCTTGAACCCGGGTCTGCTGGGTTCCAGCCCAGTATTCTACCACTTAGTTACGCCGGTGCTTGTAACTTGTTGTCAAACTTGCCTTAGGCTGTTATAACCTAGCAACAATGGCACAGTGGGGCTCGAACCCGGGTCCGCTGGGTGCCAGCCCAGTATTCTACACTGAGCTACTCCGGTGCTTTGTTCACTTCATCAGAAGTCGGGCAAACACACACAAGCGTCAAGAAGGGGAAGCCACTCCGGAACGGGGTCAAAAGTCTCAACAACCCTGCGCTCTTGAGCAGCTGCTTCTCGGAAGACAGATCTCGTCGACCGGCCCCGCCGCGGTGGTCTAGTGGCTAAGGTACTCGGCTGCTGACCCGCAGGTCGCGGGTTCAAATCCCGGCTGCGGTGGCTGCATTTCCGATGGAGGCGGAAATGTTGTAGGCCCGTGTGCCCAGATTTGGGTGCACGTTAAAGAACCCCAGGTGGTCTAAATTTCCGGAGCCCTCCACTACGGCGTCTCTCATAATCATATGGTGGTTTTGGGACGTTAAACCCCACATATCAATCAAGATCTCGTCGACCGTGGTGGCTCGGCGTGTCTATCAATCGTGCAACTTCTCCATAGTGAATAAAGTCCCAATACCATAAACAGGTCACAAGGAGTATTATCAGACTATTTTTGAATGGGAAAACGTAATACCATGAGCTGTGATTAGAAGTTCTTTTCTTATTGTTCTTTTTAGAATGTCCTAAAAATAACAAGCTTCACGACAATGAATAAAACAATGCTGTATAGTCTCAGGTTGGTTGCAGAGCTACTCCGGTGCTTGTGACTTGTTCTCAAACTTGCCTTAGGCAGGCTTGATGTCGGGAAAGCAATCGCGTTAATACGACTTATAAAGCGTTTTAAATCAGGGATACAACAACTAGTCATCACACAATGGGATAAGTGTTACGAGAGGGTCATCCAATGCTCTAAACTATTACAAAAGCTTGTTCTAGCTCAGCTAATAACTGTGGCGCATGAACACTTCAAGCGTAATTCCTCATCGATCGTAAGCCACTCCATTAACAATTGGCACAAAATTCCTCGTTATGGTTTAGCGGTGTTGTAAGCGCACCTCCGACGACGTTACGATGGGCGCTACGAATCTCACCGCTGCAACCACTGTTTCGAAAGACGGCGACGCCAACACGGTCCCGAAGGCGCCACTGCTTCCGACTCCGCCGGGAAGGTCACCAGCCGTTTGGTAGCGTATGTTTCTCAGCTCGCGACTGCTTCTGCGCAGAGCTGATAAGACGAGCGGACGAGACGACGGTGAGTTAAACAAGGTTTATGTACAGCATATATACAGAGGCGTTACAAATTCGGCACTGGGGCCGACAGAGACTCGAAAAGCCGAGCTCTCCTCTCTAACACATAGGTCTGCTCTCAAACGGGTCCGCTCTGACACACATGCCAGCTTTTAACTAGGACCGCCTTTCACCTAGGACCGCCGACCGCGACGCGCCGCAGGGCTTCTTTTATTTGCGCCGGGTCCAACCAAAATGTCCAATCTGAAGCGCCGCTGGTCGTCAGGGCAGACTCCTCCAATGGGGTCGCCGCGCAATGCGTCAGACCACCAGACATGAAGACACCGCTTGTTTACTCGACGGGCTCGCAGCTGCGCTGACTCACTGCACGTGCGCGCCAGAAAGGCGCCGTGGAGTTGTTGATCGCGTCAGGCGGGCGACGCGGGCTGGCCTTGACACAGATTGCCTTTTTCAGAGGCACGGACGTCCGCTGTGGACTCGCAGGCATAACAGCACCCCCGCCGCCAGACAATGCGCCGAAAAGACGAGCTGCTTCCACGGGGCTCGGATGACAGGCGCGCTCGTTCGCCAGGTCCCTCCAGGTTCGCCTCCAGGGCCATGGGGAGAATGCAGCTCCAGACTCTGTTCCGGGAACACATCCCATCCTTGAGGACGGATCCCAGCTCCACTGGCTTGTCGCCACAACTTGCTGGCCAACTTCACTCGTCTCTTCTGACCATCTTCGGTTTCAGCACTTGTCGATGGTTCTGCAACTTGCTAAGAACGGTTCGACAACAGACAACACACGACACAAGCAAGTGCCCTCGGTCACCCAACAGAACACCAGACAAAGTATAGTACAACATATACCTATCTACGTGTCTATCGGAATTTTGTTCCCTCTACATCAAGAGGCATATGTGGGACACAAGACTCTTAAAGTAAGAACTTGAATTTTTCACACTTACAACAACGCAACGAATTAGAATACCACATAAAGTTGGCCCTTTGAGATCACTCTGAACGAGAGCGCTCAGCCCAGGTCGTGATGAGGTCAAAATTTTGCCCCGAATCGCCAGCGAGAAACCGAAAGGTTGAGAAGGTACAAGATGGAACGCACTGCTCAATGCACCTGCATTAGCGCTTAGCTTTCCCTTTTTTTTTTGATAGCGAACGTCAAAGTTGCGCTGTGGAGCAACATGCTCCACCTCAGTAACCGGCCACTTTTAGGCGATGATACCTATGCGGCACCAAGAGCGGCTCACACTTGCGACGTTGCACAGGGAAACAACGATACGGCTTGCTACGGATTGACTCCTCACCGCTTAGCTCGATATCGTGTTCGATCACCCTCGTGTTTCCGTGACAGTCCGAAAACACGTCTTCAAACACCAAAACAATCTTTCTCGGGTGCTCCTTTTGGACTTCACTTAACCTAGGCTCTAGGTTTATCTGCTCCCAGATTACCTCCGATTCCCTTTCGATTGCCTCACTAGAACTAAAAATTTCTGCTCCCTCTTCCTCTGAAGCATTCAACAGCTGATTTACGACTGCTTTCAAGTTGTAAATTTTGTCCGGCCGCCTTCCTAATTTCACTTCATAATTTGTATCGCAAGGCTTCGATAATACTTTGGCGGGCCCTTCCCAATCAACATCAAGCTTGTTCCTTTTGGACGGCTGCAGCAGCATTACCTGATTATCAACTTCAAAAGCGCGCTTCTTCACCGATTTCTCGTAGTGCTCCTTCGACAGCACTTGTGCCGCGTTTTTGTGGCTTTCCACTAGCGCTTCAATCGAGAGGTCCTCACGCTGCTCTCGAATGAGCGTCTCTCGATCAACTCTCGGCAGCTCGCTCCAACTTTCCGCTACAGGCGAGAGCGTTGCAACCCTCTCGCTCTGACTCAATGGCGCCATGTCGTCTCCCCCTACGCATACCTCGCCGGCCGCTTCCGCGACGGGCCGCTCGCGTGACCGCTCACATGACTCATGCGGAAAATTTCCTTTCTGGGGTTCCGTCGACCCGCCGACAAGGTCACTTGAGAGTTCACTGCATTGAACCAGATCAAGCTGCCGCGATAGCTTACGCGCTTGCGATCGCGTGAGGGCCATGCACGCTAAGTTGGGGAAGAACGATTTGCCCTGCTCTTTAAGAAGCTGCTCTGAGTTGTTGGAGAAAAGATAAGGAAAACGATCGTTTAGCGCGGCAGACACAGCCGCTTCGGTGCGAAGCTTACCGAACGGGCCTTCAATGACAACGGTGGCGATTGGTAAGCGAACACTCTGCTCCTCGGCGACTTGCCTGATCCACGCGCATTCTCCTGTAAAGTCATCCGGAGACACCAATGAAGGATGGACAACATCCATGGTTGCCGCGGAGTCTCTAATTGCTCGGCACGTTTTCTCATTCACCCTAATTTCTTGGAGATACGGCTCCAACAACCGCATGTTTTTTCCTGATTCTCGGATTGTTGCGAAGGCAAACTTTTCCTGACAGTTTCTCGCAATGTGTCCTTCCTTTTTGCAGTTGTAGCAGATTAGCGGCTTCCGTTTGTTCTCCGATTCAAATGCCTGTGTGGTAGAAACCTCACTCGATTTCTCCGCTTCTGTTTGCCCTTCCCCTACACTGTCCTTCGTAAGAGACGGGTCCTTCTTGAAATTACGGTGCGGAGCGGGTCTCCGTTGATCAGGTTTCTTTGAAAAGCCCTCTTTTCTCTCATTCTTTTCAACGCGCACTGCCCTGCTGTGCAACTTTCGGCGAGTATAATACTCCTCAGCTAACTCTGCTGCCTTGTTTAGCTGTACTTCACCAAGTCTGTCCTGCAGCCAAAGCCTGACATTATCCTCGATGCAGCGGTAGAATTGCTCCAATGCAACGCATTCCACCACTCTATCGCGGTCGTCATAAACACCTTCGCCCTTGAGCCATTCAATTAAATTGGCCTTAAGACGAAACGCGAAGTCAACGTGTGACTCATTCCCCTTTTCAGCATACCGGAACCTTTGCCTGAAAGCCTCGGGTGACAACTTATAACGTCTCAAGAGCACTTCCTTAACCTCGTCATAGCTCTCAAACGCTTCCCTCGACAAGCAAGTTATCGCGTCGGACACTTCACCGGGAAGAAGAGCTAACAGGTTCTGCGCCCAAAGAGACCACTCTAAAGCGTTTCGCTCACAGACGTGTTCAAACTTGACGAGATACTTCGCCATGTCCTCGCCTACTACGAACGGTGGCAGTTGGTCCCGAATTCTAAAACCGCTGACCTGAATCGTCGGAGAAGCTACGCTAGGCGCCTGCGAACACTGTAGGATTGCCAATTCTATTCGTTTCAACTCGAGGCGCTCCTGTCTCTCGGCCTCCTCGCGACGTTCGCGCCTTTCAGCTTCTTCGCGAGCTTCGCGCCTTTCAGCTTCTTCGCGAGCTTCGCGCCTTTCAGCTTCTTCACGTTCGCGAGCTTCTCGCCTTTCAGCCTCCTCGCGGCGTGCTTTGATATCCACCCAGGCCTCATCGACTTCCTCAGCCGACACTCCCTCATCCTTCATGATCTCAAGGATCGCTTGCTTTCGTTTCGCACTGCCCAAAGTAATGCCGAGTTCCTCACAAATTTCGATGAGTTCCTTCACTTTAAGGTTCTCCATCGTTCACACTAGCCTCTTGCTGTTTGCCCCTGTTAAGAATCTATTTGCCGTACCCACTATAAGCCTACTAGCAAGACGCGCAAGCAATTTTTCACACTCCCGTGTTTACCCCCTCTGCATTAACTTTGGTTTCAATGCGCTTCGACTTGGCTTGAAGCGATCAAAGCTCACTTCAAGGCTTCACACAGCCCTTCTCTAAACTACTACAACCTGAGCTAGAGTAGTCTGGTGAACTGAGGGGAAAACATCAGGCACTCACCGCATCGATGTCGCTGACGCCGGCCGATCCCACCGCTGCCACCACTGTTGTGAAGCGCACCTCCGACGACGTTACGATGGGCGCTACGAATCTCACCGCTGCAACCACTGTTTCGAAAGACGGCGACGCCAACACGGTCCCGAAGGCGCCACTGCTTCCGACTCCGCCGGGAAGGTCACCAGCCGTTTGGTAGCGTATGTTTCTCAGCTCGCGACTGCTTCTGCGCAGAGCTGATAAGACGAGCGGACGAGACGACGGTGAGTTAAACAAGGTTTATGTACAGCATATATACAGAGGCGTTACAAATTCGGCACTGGGGCCGACAGAGACTCGAAGAGCCGAGCTCTCCTCTCTAACACATAGGTCTGCTCTCAAACGGGTCCGCTCTGACACACATGCCAGCTTTTAACTAGGACCGCCTTTCACCTAGGACCGCCGCCCGCCGACCGCGACGCGCCGCAGGGCTTCTTTTATTTGCACCGGGTCCAACCAAAATGTCCAATCAGAAGCGCCGCTGGTCGTCAGGGCAGACTCCTCCAATGGGGTCGCCGCGCAATGCGTCAGACCACCAGACATGAAGACGCCGCTTGTTTACTCGACGGGCTCGCAGCTGCGCTGACTCACTGCACGTGCGCGCCAGAAAGGCGCCGACAGAAAGGCGCCGTGGAGTTGTTGATCGCGTCAGGCGGGCGACGCGGGCTGGCCTTGACACAGATTGCCTTTTTCAGAGGCACGGACGTCCGCTGTGGACTCGCAGGCATAACAGCGGATACCACGCTTCTTAGAAGAATGACGAAAAATAGCATAGCGAATGCCGGCCTACTACCATTAAGTTTGTATTACTAATTCCGTAGTGGGTATCAAGCAAGTGTGCTTGCAGCAGTTACCCAATGAGTGTTTAGAAAAGGCTCTAAAAGGCCGCTCTTCTAGCTTTTGCTGTGACTGTACTGTGACTTCTGCGCAGGACTGGTGTTTTTTTTTTGTAGTTGCTGAGAAAAGGTACATTTAATAAGTGAACCCCCTTTAAAGTTTAGCAGTCGACCATAAGAAGGATAGGAAACCTAGGCAGAAAAAAAAAAGAAAAGTTGCCACTTCGTGACCAGAGGAATCATGTGAACACTTCAACTTCATCGGAATAGTTGCAGCCGTTTCTAACATATTATGCCAAAAGTGACATGTTCCACTCACCCTACCCTACTTAAACAAGAAAAGCACCCTGTATAGCGCGAGGATTTGCGTTAACCTATTTAACATTTCATGGCAGAAGCCTCAGAATGTCTTCGGTTGGCGAAACTCCACGTGTACCTTTATTGACCGCTCAGCCAGCAAACAGAGAGACGGCATTCTGCTCTCCCATAGTAGGGTCAAAGGCACTCTAAATCGTTAGACACTTTTTCTAAACACACTTGCATCAGGTGTCATACCCCTGAAATGCGCCGCAAGGGCCAGTTTGACAGCCCGCCCACTAGAAAGAGTTCACTCGTAATTAATCATTATCACCAAGTACAACATCAACGGATCGTGTAGTGTATGGGCTGGTGCGTTGTCCTTAAAAGGTGTATGTGAATGCTTCGCTAATTCACAAAATGATGAATTAAGGCACTGTGGGCACTGTGCAACACGGCTTCCAGTAGGCATTACAGAATAGTTTGAAGCGCTCAATGCACGCGCTCAAGACGTTCTTTCCCTTGTGGTACGATTGAGGTGCCCACTGACAAGCGACACCATGCTAGAGAATCAGAAGGTGATGCACATGGGGCCTGATGACACTATCGAACTCTCTTTAACTCGATGATGAAGTGTCGTTCAAGTATTAATGGTCACTAGATTTTACGTGAGGCCTTTTTCGGGAACATAATCGGTGTCCGTACGTGTGATTGCTTTCCACGTGAAATTTAGTGTTATGGGAGGGAAATACACTGTAAGAAAAAAAGGGAACATTCTTTTAGAGCTTTTTTTTCTGTGTCAAGCGCGACTAAATGAATTTAACGGACAATTATGCAATGAAACGCATACGGGCCGGACAATAATTATTATCCTTAGCTGTAGCGTATTCGTGAATGAGAGTGTAGTCCTCTGTAACGGTTCACATATTTCCAATTGCAGCGTCTGAAAACACTACGCAGTGGAATACTTTGCATTTCTTGTCCAAATTCTAGGTGCAAGGCTCCTAAACCCGGCTGTCATTTTAAGGAAGGGAACAGGAAATTTCCTAAATGTTGCAAGACGAAGTGTCACAAGTCCAGGCGTAAGTATTGGCACGCCGCAAGCCACTCATGCCTCCGTCACTACCACGTTCTCTATTCCAAACGTATTCCATTGTGCCAAAGGGGTGGCTGATAGTTTTGCTAAATGTGCGTGTTTTAAATGCGAAGCATATTACTTAGCGAACTTCGGTGACTTTGAGCGCATCTATCTATCTATCTATCTATCTATCTATCTATCTATCTATCTATCTATCTATCTATCTATCTATCTATCTATCTATCTATCTATCTATCTATCTATCTATCTATCTATCTATCTATCTATCTATCTATCTATCTATCTATCTACGACTTTTAGCTCTCCCAACCGTTTCGATAACGGTATAGATACCACACTTAGTATGGCATAACATGACTGTATGAAAAACATATTTGACTAGTCATAACATGAAAAGCATAACATGTATGTCATGAATGTCATGATTTAAATTTCATGGTCTTGCAGCTCTTGTGCTGGTTTCGTTCACATGACATGTTGCAAAACTGGTATGGTATGGCATGACTGCATGGCGAACACTAGCGACAGACCCTAACATAAAAATCATGATATGCGTGTCATGTAACAACATGACTACATGCCACGCTCATGATGCGTTCGCGGCCGTTTCGCTAGCGTGACATATACCGAATTTGGTATCCTAGTACATCAATGGATGACGAAGGTGTGATACTGGTGAAAACATGATAAACATGAGATGCGTGTCGTGAAAGAACATGACATCATGGTACGCTCATGTTGTGTTCGCGGCCCTTTCGCTTGCTGCACATGTACCAAACTCGTTATTACGTGACGCGAACGGACGACATAGGTAAAGGACACATCCAAACATGATAATCACGACATGCGTGTCATGTAACAACATGACTACATGCCACACTGATGATGCGCTCGCGGCCGTTTCACTAGATTCACATATGCAAAATTTGGTATTACGTGACGCTAATGGATGACGAAGGTATGGGCTGGTGCAAACATGATAATCATGAGATGCGTGTCATGTGACAACATGACATGTCACAGTCAAGGCGCCAATACATTTCGACGTGACGCAGTCCACGTCTTCGCCGGCGTTAATTTCGTCACATCATGCCGGTGTTGCCACGCCAGGCGCCGGTCCTGCCATATCATCACAGGCACGCGCCGCGCTGCGTTGCTTTGGCGCATATGCATTGTGGCGCGTCCGGCGTCCCTCCGTCACGAAAATATGGGGACGCAGTGTCGTCTGGGGAACGCATCGGCGCGCAATGCAGCATGTCGCATTTCGCGCTGGTTGCCGTCGGGCCGCGCCGACGGACGCTGGTCGCGCTTGGCGTCAGACTATAGAGTGCTCGTCGCGTTTTGCTAACGTTGCGTCACTGTGCCTAGCGTGCGCGCGTGTCAACGCTACATTGTAGTATATTGGGCCCTTCATGATGCGCTCGCGGCCGTTTTGCTCGCTCCACATATAACGAATTCCAGCTACATGACGTCAATGGATGACTAAATATGTGACTGGTGCGAACATGAAAATTTTGACAGGCGTGTCATGTAAGAACATGACAACATACCACGCTCGTAGCGTGCTCGCAGCCGTTTCGCTAGGTTAACGTATACTACATTTAGTATCACGTGACGTCAACAGATGATGAAGGTGAACGACACACCCAAACATAATAATCATGACATGGAAGTCATGTACAGATTCATTTACCTGCACCTGTTAACGTTGTGCTGATTTTAAAGTGACATATCAACACTTCTCATTCGTGCTTCGCATATAATCGATTCCCACTGTACGTGGGATCTGCCATTTCTTTAGCGACGCTTACATGGGCCAATCACGGAAAGCTTAGTGGTGTGGTTCGTACGCTGTGGGCGCCAGCCTCACTGCGGCTCTCAGTAAAGAGGTCATTGGCCATAGGAGGGTTCCGCTTGGAGCGTTCCTCCGTTTGGAGTGTTTGCGTGGCTCACCAACATGGCTTTCCGTCATTAAATCATGCAAATGTCACGTTAATGTTGACAAGTCTCTTAATCGGAGTGAGTGCAACAAATGGGACAACAAGAAAAACTTTTCCTTTTGCGCCAGACCTGTAGGGATCGAGATGTGTCGTGGAATAAAATTATAATAATGAATCATCGCGCACTCTTTTCGCCCTCTTGTCCATCGCCTTTCTCTTTTTCTGCTTCGCTACCCGAACACATGCGCCGATTTGTTCGGCATGGAATGCATTAGCTCTGATTGGTGAACGAAGGGTTGGTTAATTGACCCTTTCAACCTGGCGCAACCTACCACGGGAGTACTGTAAAGAAAAAGAAAAAAAAGAGAGAACATAATCCCAGCGTATTCAAGGAGTGAATCATGTTGAGTGGGCGAAGCTCTCGAGGCACATTGGCAAACCATGAATCCTCCATAAATCTTGCACAGTCGCGATCATCATGTAAAAGTTGCGAGCACGTGCAGTGGCCATTTTCCGAGCCCTCCGCTCCATCGCCTTGCTTAGTCGCTCATATACGAAGCACACAGGCTGCCCGCGAAAGAGGAAGTGCGCCAAGAGCGAACGCTTTTTAACACAAGAGCGAACGTGGTCTCCTATTACCTGAGTGCACGTATCGAAGTAGAGCGAGCTCTGCAGGACCATCTAGTGAGGAAAAGTCAGGGCGTTCGGTGTGCTCAACTCCTACCAGGAGTTGCGGGAAGCGGACCTCATAAATCACTATACGCGGCCTATGCAAACGATCACCACCCCCCGGGTGACGCTTACGCAACCATTTAAACATTCAACACACTTGCACTTCAGAGGAGGCGGAGTGTATTCCAGAACTTCGGCGCCAAATGCTCTGGGTCTCTCCACTCCCCACTAACATGGACATGCACTCGCATGAAACTAGGTGATAAGCGCGGGCTCGGACGCGTGAAAGACAACATGGTTCCCGACCTGGTGTATACTCCGTAGGCATAGCAGGGCCGACGCCCAAAGGATTTTACACGTCCCCTGTAGTTCACCAGGGAATGCAGGCGTCAACGGGCTCTCCTAGAGAGCACAAAATTCACAGCGGGCTGAGGAAGTATAGCGCTGGCGCTTGCTGCCACGGATCGCAATTTGAAAACGATAATAACAGATTCGAAAAAAGCTTGTGCTCACTACCTAGCAGGGGGAGATATCCCCCTTAGCTAGCTATATTTTAAGACGGGCTGCCGCTGATCCAACCCCGAAAAGCCTAATTTAGGCTCCTGGCCATTACAGTTTACGAGGTAATGAGGCCTCTGACGCGGCCACCCGAGCGCTCTTACACCGGGCCCCTCACCCCAGCTCCTTAGACACTGAGGCCAATACATCACTGCTGTTGATCACAAAAATTATTTCCTGTTATTTCAACACTCACCGCCTTTTCCCGGCTCCTGCAAAGGGGCTGAGTAAAACGGATGACCGAACTTTAAGGCGCCTGTAGACAGGCACTCTAACCTGTCCTGCAATTATGAAACACTTCGATCCGAACACGGATGGGCGATGTCCACACTGTGGGGAGACCTGCGAAACCTTCCACGTGGTGTGGGCATGTGGAAAAAATTGCCACCTGCCCCTTTCTTCTACCCTTGCCCGAGAGGCACGGGAGACTGCCCTCGTCCACAGCTCCTTGCTGAAGTCTCAACGGACTCTGGTGAGACGGGCGCGAGTCGGGGCCTCGTCATGGGGTGTCCCGGACTAGGAACGCCGACCATGTAGCGGGTCATGCTTCCGCTTCCAAACTCTTTTTTTTTTCAACAATAAGTATTGTCATCTCTGTTGCTCTCTCTGAGGAATTCGAGTAGTTGCGGTGCGAGTTCCACATTGCCTTCTAGTGAGCGCTCTGAGTACTAGCTGTGGCTGCAACGACGACGCGGGTCTAGCCTATACCCTAAGAAGCTTCGCGCCTAAAAGGGAACTATAGATGGACAAATTCTTTTATTGGGGAAAGGGAGGACCTATGGGCACTGATGGAAGAGTGGAGGAGCGAAAGGGGTGACAGTCTTGCCACGCAAAAGGCAAAGGAATATAGAGGCGATAAAATCTTGGCGAAAAAACTTCTTGGTGAGGTGAAATTCGATCGCGCCTGCCCTAGATTCAAAATTGAACTTGTTAATTACCGGACTATCAGGGCACGCTGGCAGAGCCCTATATAGTATACCAGAAAAGTGGGTGAAGAAGGGAAGTGAGGGTGAGATTCGATGTAGAGGAAGATGTAAAGGAGAACCAGTACAGATGTAGAGGAGAACCAGAACAGAGATAGAAAGACAAAGAATTATAAAGAAGAAAAGAGAAACAATGATAAGAAAGATAAAGATAGAAAGATAGATGAATATATGAATAGAGTACAAAAACGATAGAAAGAAACAGAGCAAGCATAGCTTTTTATGTAGTTGGTTACAGTCTAAGAATAATTGTAAGCTCCGCCCGCAGCGGTCACCGACCACCCAGGAAGAATTTGCATAATTGTTTTCTCTGAAAAAAAGTTGTAAGCGATTTCGAGTACTTCGTACTCTACTATGTGAGAGCATAATGATTTTCAGTACTTGGTACTCTGCAATGAGGGAACGTAAGGACATTCTATGGGCCTCCCACTTGATGAGGCCCTGTCGACAAAAATTTAGGGATAAATCCGTAGGGTTGGCATCACACCTTGGGAACCACAGAGAAACTGCCATTGGAGTGGTGTTTAGAAAAAATGTTCAACGATTTCGAGTACTTCGTACTCAACTATGGGAGAGCAGTGGGCCATTCCTTCTGAGCACACACTAGTTTAAGAAAATTTTTTTTTTCGGATATATCTTACACAGCTTATGTGCACACAGAAAAATGGAGAATGGTAATCAATGCGTATGTACAATGCGAGCTGCTATATACAGCGAAAAGAATTTATTGCGTATGCAGGGACGTACAATGCAAAAATTGTACAACAAAGACAGGACATTCATGACATCGAGATGATTAAACTTAAATAAACAGTAAGGCTATATGAACAAACAAGGGGGGGGGGGGTCATTCACAGTGTAGGGTGATGTTTTTGCATTCACCTGTGAGGACAGTTTGCTCTCGCGCTCAAAAACAATATTGCACAAAAAGGACGTGTTTGTAAAGAAGAAAAGAAAAATACACACTGTAATGTCACAGTGGTACAAGCCCTAGCCCACCTCCTCAATAGGGGAGCAAAGGCATGGACACTCTGTTGTTTTTTACCATAATGAATCGCGTAGACCAGCGTCAGAGGAAAGCCTCTTCTCCCTGCATGACTACGTAGTTCTGCGTTGAGATGCATAAGCATTACGTTTCTTAGCCGATGTAGCAGAGGAAACATGTCTCTCTGAGGGCGTCCCCTCAGGCGGGCCAGACCCCTCCGCTTCCGTAAGACGAAGGCTCCGCTTAGCTTAAGAGAATTTTATTTCCGGATATAACATACACAGCCTATGTGCACACATAAAAATGGACAATGGTGAACAATGCGTATGTACAATGCAAGCTGTTATATACAGCGAAAGAACTTATAGTGTATGCAGTGACGTGCAATGCAAAGATTACTGAATTTCAGGATGCGATTTACGTCACGTCGGGTAGTTATTACGGATTTTAGGCATATCACTCGCCCGTACAGACCCGTGTTCATTTCGATAGCTTTCGCTTGAAAAATTCTACGTTCAAAAGTTCTGACACTGCTGCAATGCGGAACATGACGTTTTAACAAGAAACTAGGAAATTTTAATTAATAGTATGCCTCGTATTTGCATTACCAGTGAAAATGTGCCTATGAATAGAATGGAAATCGCCGATCATTGCCCTATTGCTCAGATTAACAATAGGCGTGCTGCAGTATTAGGGGTGGAGCGTGTATTTATTCCTAGGTTGAAACCGATTATAAAATAGTATATCAAAGGGTAGAAAATACAGGTGGTTGACGCTAAAAGCTTACAGCCAAGCCAGGGCCAGCTAGCTGCTCACCAGCTCTGCTGTGACCCAGACTTGCGCGATTTGATCCAAGCTGCGCTTATTTACTATATATTGTGCAACGAATCAAAGCAAATGAAGGTCAGAAGAAAAACATTGCGGAAAACTTCCAACACGAATGACTCGTTTTCAATCACTATTAGTGTGACACATAAAGTTACCAACGATTCACGACAATATAGGTGTAATGAGTCCGGTAAAATAGCTGAGCAAGTACATGGAAAACTTCTCAAAAACAAAAATCATATTCTCGATTATTCCACCCTTGTATTGCTGACACTCATACCAAAATTTGCCATATGCGCAGAGCCCTGCGTCATCAAAGGGACGGATGACTTGTTGCCAGATGGGCAGATACGCAATTCTACAGATCCCTGTGTGAAGTACGAGTGCCACAACGGAAACCTCACGGTAACAAAGTAAGTAAAACCATTTGCAAATAAGTTCAGTTCACAGTGATGATATAGCCATTGTCATTCTTTTTCTCAAAATCAGGTGGTATAGATCTCATGCAAAATTGCTGCCATCTGGCGGCCGTCGTGTGCCTACCGCCATGTTAGAGGCTCGAGCATGGTGCAGTGAACGCACAGTCGCGTGTGTTTACGTATGCGTACACGTGAGGCGTATTGAGGTGAAGCCTGTATTCACTTATAATCGTAATGCCGACGTAATGTTGCGTCCCTTGCTGCACACAGAGAGGAACTCGGAATGCCGAAGGAAGAAAGATAAGCTGTAAACTTTGCCCCTTGATATTTTTTTCAATCTGGTGACGTTTCCAGCATTCGCTTCGGCCACTGCTCCCGAAACACGCGTTTGCATTCTCTTTTCTAAGCAAGTAATAGGTCCAACAGCATTTTTACTCGTGTTCCCTCAAATTTCTGCCCGCTGAAGCAAGACATTTTTTGCAACGTTTTCACAAGCAGCCATTCACTAGAAACGACGTTCACGTGACAAGCTTTTATTGCGGCTAATTGCACGTGCCTGCATTTTGTTGCGTAAGCCGAGAACATCTAATTTTTGAAAAATAATCACGGTCATGCGCAAGTCGTTTCACTAAACGGCAGCTTGTCAAACTCCAGAAGAGATAACGAAACAACGTGAAACAAAGATGCTTTAACACCGTGGCTCCCTTCTCAGAATGAACTTATAACGCACATTTGCATCTAATTTAGCGTGCGCCATTACTCAAACCCAATGAAGAAAACAATACAATCAACGAAATGACGGCTCGCGCAATTAGCCTAGATAGAGCTCACTGCGTGAACGTGACTCCTGCGTAAAGCGTACGAGTCGTCTTCACATGTTAAGCGGCAGCTAGTGAAAATGGTGCAAAAACTCTTGCTTCGGCGTGCAGTAATTTGAGGGAACATGAGTACAACTGCTGTTGCACGTCTTACTCGCTTATAAAGGAGAACGCAAACACGTGTTTCGGGAGCCGGAGTGCATGCTGGAAGTGTCATCAGCTTGAAAAAATAACAATGGGGAGAAGTTTAGAGCTTATCTTTCTTTTTTCAGCATTCCGGGTTCTCTGTATGCAGCAAGGGACGCAGCAATACTTTGGAATCGCGGTCATCTGTCAATACATGCCTCACGTCGATGTGCTTTACGTATACGAATACGTAAACACACGCGGAATTGTGTGGACTGCGCCGCACTGTAGCCTGGCGGTATGCACACGACTGGCGGTATGCGGTATGCACACGACTGCCGACAGGTGGCAGCAATTTGCATAGTATTACGGCTTGGTGGCGCTAGCCACCGCCCGATCTAAAGGGTACAGCCATATCCATCCATCCATCCATCCGTCTGTATCGTCTCAGTTTCGGAGTGAGGTTCATAGACGACATCCTATAATATATTTTTTTCTTAAAGTGCAGTACTATCGGATCACACGGTACACACGTGAGCACGTTGTTTGAGTAAGGGAGAAAGACTACTCATATGAACCTCAATTTTGGTGCGTTAAAGACCAATATTCTTTATTACTTGCGGATAAATACAGATCAAGATCTTCTGTCGTGTGAAGCGCGTTCCTGTCCTCCACGCGCAGGCAGACTGGTGCCAAAACGCAATGCGTGGTGCCTCTACAAAGACGGAGTGAAGAATTAAGTTCATGCATGCTGGCACATGCATGGCTAGCACGCTAATTTCGCTGTTAGACATCTGTCATTATACTAACGGGAATGTTCCCAATCCGGAAGGCCAGAGGATGTTCTCGTGTCAAGTTGAAAAAAAAAAACAGAAAACTCCAACGAAATGAATCTGGGTTGTTCATCTCCGACCAGATTCAACTATATGTGTATTGGAAATACATTATGTATACTCCTATGATGAAATTCAATTTTCAGCTTCTGAGAAAAACTGCTTCAGAGTTCAATATTGCGACTGAAGTTTACGCTAGAGGGTTCCAAAATTACTCTGTATATCTGGTCAACGCGAAAAGAGTGTTCCGCGCTCACCGTAATGGCAACAATTGGTGCTGACAGACGCTCCTGCATTTAAATGCTGCTACATTCACTTTTAAGCCATGGACGCGGGATGACCGCCACCATGGCTCAGTAGTAGATCATGGGACGCGTTACTCGAAGGCCGCACACTCGGTCCCTGCCTGTGGCAAGGGATGTTTTCGTTGACTTTTCTTCACATTTTAGGAGCGAAGCTCCTTAAAGCGGCACCCGTTCGCCCCTCGTGGTAGTCGTTGTGCGTAACCAGTCTTACGCTTTGACCTGCAAAGGTGGTGCCAATGGGAGTTTCTCCTGTGCGTTGTTAAACAATAAAAAATTGGCAGCGTGCGTGTTAACTAAAAGCCGGATTCTCCTGTCTCTCATTCCCAATTAGCAGCCATTGGCATGTACGTTGAGCACTATCTGACAAGAAAGGGTGGCTACGTTATACTCGCTGGGTGTAACCTCCTTGGTTTTAGAAAGGTTTAGCGAGCGTTGGGTTGCAGTGCCATGAATACAGTGAACTAGTATATACTATGAACTCAAGGTGGTTAAAGGTAGGAGGTAGACAACAAGCGCAAGCCGTAAGAAAGTGTGCGTGTGCCTTCTCTCGTTTAGTCCTTGGAATGTCCGCTGGATGGCGGTGCTTCTATATGCGGAATATATGATGAAAATATGCGAGATGCTGGTACTTGCAGTGTTGACAAGATGTACAATTGGATACAAAGACAAATGCATGGATGGACGCGCGGATGGCTGCACGGACGGATGGACGCATGGACGGACGCAGGGGCGCATGCATGAACGAACGCAGGGACGGACGCATGGACGGGCGGATGGACGGGCGGATGGACGCACGGACGGTCACACAGACGGACGCATATATGATGAAAAGATGCGAGATGGTGGTACTTGGAGTGTTGACTAGATCAACGAACGGACACACAGACAGATGCATGGACGGACGCATGGATTGACGTGCGGATGCACGAACAGATGCACGCATGGTCCGGTGGATGGACGCATGGACGGTCACACAGACAGACGCATGGACGGAAGGAAGCAAGAACGAATGGACGGACGGATGCTTCGCCCCATGCTTCATCATTCATCCTATGGATAAGCTGCCATTTTTTATTACGATTATTTCTAATAGTACAGCCTATACATACATTGGCGCAATCGTCGGTTAGATACGAGGGGTCTGCCGCACTTTCACGTTTGTCTCTTGCATTACACTATACATAGCTATGTTATTCTCTACCCTCTACCCTCCCCCTAATCTTCACTTCAATTTCCCATTTTGTTGCACCAGGTGTCTATGCTCTACATGGTTTTGCCTACGTAGCACCAAGCGGCGGCACGAAATCACAACATACAATGACAGCATACTCCCACCCTCCTTACGTTCCTTCTCACGCCACCTCTTTATGCTGCCCCTTTACACGCTTACTGTGTAGGTGGCTCTGCTATACATGTTTTTTTTTAACTTGAACTTGAACCTTGGAGAAATTTACTGTATATAGAGCGGCCACTGGAGCCTTTTCGTGGCCCAGCAAGAAAGGGTCTGACCAACCGCTAGATATGCTGTTTTTTATAGGCCTACTGTCTAGGTGACGGTGCTATACATGATTTTTTTCTTTTCCTTTTTTGAACTTGAACACCCTGCTTACCTTCCTTCTCACGCCACTTCTTTATGCTGCCCCTTTACACGCCTACTGGTAGGTGGCTGTGCTATACATGTTTTTTAACTTCAAATTGAACCTTGGAGAAAATTACTATATAAAGAGCAGCCACTGGAGCATTTTCGTGGCCCAGCAAGAAAGGGTCTGACCAACCGCTAGATATGCTGTTTTTTATAGGCCTACTGTGTAGGTGACGGTGCTATACATGATTCCAGGAAGAAAGAGTCTGACCAACCGCTAGATATGCTGTTTTTTATAGGCCTACTGTCTAGGTGACGGTGCTATACATGATTTTTTTCTTTTCCTTTTTTGAACTTGAACACCCTGCTTACCTTCCTTCTCACGCCACTTCTTTATGCTGCCCCTTTACACGCCTACTGTGTAGGTGGCTGTGCTATACATGTTTTTTTAACTTCAAATTGAACCTTGGAGAAAATTACTATATAAAGAGCAGCCACTGGAGCATTTTCGTGGCCCAGCAAGAAAGGGTCTGACCAACCGCTAGATATGCTGTTTTTTATAGGCCTACTGTGTAGGTGACGGTGCTATACATGATTTTTTTTTTCCTTTTTTGAACTTGAACACCCTGCTTACCTTCCTTCTCACGCCACTTCTTTATGCTGCCCCTTTACACGCCTACTGTGTAGGTGGCTGTGCTATACATGTTTTTTTTTACTTCAACTTGAACCTTGGAGAAAATTACTATATAAAGAGCGGCCACTGGAGCCTTTTCGTGGCCCAGGAAGAAAGAGTCTGACCAACCGCTAGATATGCTGTTCCTCTATACGCCTACTGTGTAGCTGACGGTGCTATACATGATCTTTTTTCTTTTTATTTTTTGAACTTGAACATTAACCATAGAGAAGTATACTATATAAAGAGTGGCCACTGAAGCCTTTTTGCAGCAAGGAGAAGTTTATTGACTTCCAACCAACGATAAAAGTACATGACGAAAACATCGAGCTTCACGACTACAAGGGTGCATGTACAATCGGAAAGCACCACTACCGAGGTACAATGTATGTGGGGGAACGTACCCCTCTATTTACTGTACAGCGCGTGGTGCTCCAGCAGGCTTAATCATGCACGGCGGTAGGTCTTCTCAACACGCGGTTGGAACAAATAGCGACTTAGCGCTGTACAACTCTAGGTATTATTTCTTTTGTCGCCTGAAACAATGCTGCTTTCGTACACGGTAAGTGCATGCTCGGAAGTATAAAAGAGGCCTTTAGGCTGGGGGGGGGGCAGGGGGGGTACATGGGAGTGGGGGGGGGTCTTGTCTTCCCCCAA